TCGCCGTCTCCAGATGATAGTGAACAGCGTTAACGTTGGAACGAAGTTCCCTCCCTAATGTTGCAAAAATTCACGGATAGCGTGACAGGGGTCGCCCTGGGTCTTATTGCTCCGCTTGCCCCGAGCCACGCTCAGTAGTGGAGTAGCTTAGTCGTGGATGCTCAGCAAGGGATTCTCCAGGGGTGCTGGTACCCTCCTGGAGTAATTTTCCGTTTAATTCAGCTACCATGTTGATAGGGGGGTAGGCCTCCGGCCACCTGCACTCACCAAGGGAAACGCAGAGATTAACATCTACTTCACGCTGGTATTCTGTGAGGTCGTGGTACTACTCCGGTTTGAGCAGGCCCTTCCGTACGACAGCAAAAGCTGCTGCGTGACTACCACTTTTAAAATTAAAATGCACGGTTAGTTTTTCCTGTAGTCAATTACTTCAAGCGGTTGTAGGTACTGTTTTCAATAAATAAAGTGGCATTATGCGTGCGCTGCAAGGATTTTATCGTGAGGTTAGAGGTTATAATTTGATTTTGAATGAATGAGTGTGTACTTTTTATTGTACTACTACTTTTATTTCTACATGGTAGAGTTATAAGCACGCATATTTCTGCACGGGGAAGGACTACACGCTGCTGTGTTTCGTATGGTGAGTGTAGAGAACCGGAGACCCTTTTTACTGGAAACGAGGCATTCCATCGTAGTCCTCACGAGTGAACGCATCTGTATTTTGATTCATAATCGAGGATAGATGCAGATGTCTATGGGCCACAGCAACCACTTACCATCAGGTGGACTGTGCGCTCGTTTGTCACCCTCATTTAAACAAATAAATAAAATTGAAGTGTCTGTTTGTAATGTCAAAATAACAGCTTTTTACTAAATGCATATGAACATATTTACGGAACTTATAATAAAAAAAACTATTTTTAAATTTTTTGTCTGTCTGTCCGTCTGTCTGTCAGTCTGTCTGTCTGTTTGTTCCGGCTAATCCCCGAAACGGCTGGACCGATGTTGACGGGACTTTCACTGGCAAATAGCTGATGTTATAAGGAGTAACTTAGCTGTTTTTATTTTAGAAAATGAATTAGGGTTCCACGCAAAAAAAATTAAATCCCATAAAATCAAATCGTAATAAATTCCACGCGGGCGAAGTCGCGGGTAACAGCTAGTTCTATATAAAAAAGATGCCATTTTGGGGGGTTTTTGAAGTGTGTGCGTTGTGACTTCATAACTTTTATTACTTTTTCCCTTCAGAATAACATTAAAATGAGTAATTAAAAAAAAAAGAGTGCAACGATAACTAATCGTTCAACAAATTCTGATGTGCCGAAAAACAAAAACGCACAGATGAATATGCAGTTTTACCCACGCTTGGATGTTAAATGATTCTTCACTAACTCAATCACAAAAAATTATTATAATTCACATTGCGCATTGTGTCATAAAGACAAGTAATAAGTAATGGCGGCCAAAATGGCTACTAAACACCTGTTTTTTTTTTTAAATTACATTTGTAAACCAAATTCTCGGTTATTTTTATCTTCCGTCTCGATTTCTGAACCTGGCAACACAAATAAGGGCTCATTGAAGATTCGCGTCTGTTTTCCTATATTTCCGAGAAAGCAGTTGATTCAACAAGGCTCAGCTCCTCCCCATTTAAAAGCACGCTGGTATTCACCTTATAACATTAGGTGTGGTGAATTTAATACATTTCGTGTTATTATCGTTTAAAAACAAATGTTTGATGTTAAACCAGAGTAGGTATTACTTTTGATTTAGCATTATTCACCTAGTCTTATTTTAATAATTACCTGAAAATCAAAAAAGTATCATCAGCAAATAAAACTATATAACACCTTGTAATTGCAATTGATTAGCCATCAAACAACTGAACACGTGAAGATTTCTTTCTCGTAAAAGTACAACCACAGACTAACTAGTAGATTCAGTACAACGCAACGGCGGTAAAATCCGACAGCGCAAACGTCATATATTGAACGTTCGGGAACCATAATAGAACAAGAATTGAGCCCTGAGGAACACTCATACATACTACCGATCCGGAAGAACTACTTCCATTAATAACATCTGTTTGCATTCTATTATTTAGATATGATGTAATAAGTTTGAGTGCTATTTTTTTTACACCATAATGATGTAGGTTCCTGATTAATGTCTCATGGTGAACACAGTCAAAAGCCTTGGATAGATCACAAAATATACCCAAAGATAGATCACAAAATTACATTAAAAAACTTAACATTTGAACCAGAATAATTTTTTCAAAAATTTTACGGAGCGTTAGCAATACAGAAATTAGGAAACATACTAGATTCGATACTAGTATTGAAAATAACAGCAAGTCTGGGTGCAATTACATCTATTTATTAAAGACGCAATAACTTTTAACGGAAATTCCCTATAGATCAACTGTTTTCTTAACATCTATAATTTTGAAATATTTTACAATATCTCCTGATAATATTTTATGAAATGTTATTTCGTTTTTTTTTACAGACATTTACATTTTGTTTGAGTAATGACTTAGCGACAAGAAGGGTAGGAATTGAGTGACTTTGTAGTCAAGATTGGAATGTCGGTAAAATATTGTTCAAAAGCAGTTGCAACGTCTTTGTTTGATTTCCTTAAATTATTTTTAAAATTTAATTGAAAGTTTACGTTGTGTAGTTTCATCTTGCGAGTTTCACTATTAATTATACTCCAAGTTATTTGTTATTTGTATTAATTTTATTAGAGACATTCTTAATTTTGTTTCTTAAATGTAAGACTTTGCTGTGGAACACTCTCTTTACTTAAGCATACAAGTTTGTTGGTTATGAGTACTCTTTATTTGTCCCATCTTCAATATATCGCCAATTTGGTTGATAAGCTTTCGCCCTTGACGATTCTGCCACTCACTTCTTCAGCATAAATTTTCTGTTACTCTTTCCTTATTCATTATTTCTACGAGTCCAAACTGCCCTATTATCCCAAACCGTGGTCCAAACTACGGAGTCCTTTCTTAAGATATAATTATATATGTATTTAGTATAGAGCCATGCTGCAGCTATATTAATAGTATAATTGTAGCACGAATGGGTCGGCTCAACCGGGGAAGGACCACGCTCTCACAGAATACCAGCGTCAAATAGCAGCTTAACACTGCTGTGTTTCGTATGGTGAGTGTAGAGAACCGGAGACCCTTTTTACTGGAAACGAGGCATTCCATCTTAGTCCTCACGGGTGGCAACGCATCTGCATTTTGATTCGCAAACGAGGATAAATGTAGATGTCTATGGGCCACAGCAGCCACTTACTATCAGGTGGACTGTGTGCTCGTTTGTCACCCTATACTATATATATATATATATATATATATATATATATATATATATAAAATTCTGCGGTGTCGCTGATCCTGTCCAGTATTACTTCATGATGTGTTGCTGTTGGCAGCACATGTATCGTAGAATGGTCGACTTATCAATGCACTGGGCTGAATCTGTAGAGCCTTCCACTGTTTTAGTGCTTCTAATAATAAATTGCGTAAGCATTCACTCTTTCATATCATTATAATGTCTTGATGTATTTTTGACATACATATTTAGCTTTTCATTTAGTTTAGCAGTTTCATTTTCAAAAATATTTCAAGGTTTTATGTAAAATGGAAACAATTAATACTCAAATGCATTTTTAATCAAATATTTATTCATACACATGTTATTAAAATGAACACGAATATCTTAAAATTATTGTATTTACAATTAAATGGCGCGTCGCATCGACTTTTAAAGGGAAATATTTACAGTGTACTTACGTAAAAGAGTATTTCAGGCATCATTAAAAGCATTTTGCTATCTGCTTTTATAAGCAATACTTTGAATCGAATGCATTTTAATAATAATATGATAATTGTCCATTCGAGCAAATATAATATGCAAGAAGTTAATGTATAATATGGCTAATAAACTGTCAATATTTGATCACTTTTATTTAAGCGTGATTATATATCGTGCGTATGAATTTATAATATAGGTAATTTTCTCTCGTGTAATTAATTATTTTATTGTAAACAAAAGCCATTACATATTGCTTATAAAAATTTTATAATAAGCAAAAATTATTAATTTTTTCTTATTTAGTTTCGTTTTCGAGCTATAATAAATATACGAGTACGTTACAATTTTTTGGATGAACAAATCAATTTTGTAACTATGATTTCAATATGTGGGATGATTTGATTTATCCTTCTTGATTTATTATATTAAAATTTAGACGTGTTCCTTATTTTAAAATACAACAATGTTTATAAAGAGTATCATTCTAATAGCCACCATCTGATTCGTGATATTAAGTCTAGAACTGTTTAAAACACTTTTTTCTGTAATATGTCCAAACTTGGCCATCTAATCAAATTCCAAATTATTGTGGACTTACCACAAGTGACATCTTGTAAGACTGAAAGCACTCTTATTGACGGAAGTGTTTTCTACTACCGGATACCGAAATTAATCATTGTAAACTGAATCTTAAAATACTGAACGAACTATTGACTATTGACTATAGCCTTTATATCACAGTCTGTTACGAAGCGTGTCGTCCGCAGCACTTTACGAAATTCTATTTACATATTGTATAAAATAATAAGATAAGAGAGACTTGGTAATTAATCTAAAAAAACTCCGGCAACGAGTCTTCATGGAAACCTTTTGTTGTATTTTGATGATTGCATTTTCTGACTAACCGAGCTGGTGTGACAAAATACAAGTAACTTATTGACTAGAACGGAATTTTTAAAATATTTTAGTTATTTAGAAACAAACATTATTAACTTATGTTTTTTTTAAATACATATTATATACATCATGAACTATAAACGCAAAAGCTAAGCCAAGCGTATATTTAATAATGCAAAACAAAAACAGCAATTTATTTAAAAATTGCATAATCCTTAATAGAAAGTTTTCCCAAAATCATATTATTTCACAGTCTTATTTGTCTCGTGTTTGCCATATGGTGGCGATTTAAAAGAGACCTTCACCCATTTCATTTCGTATACATTAATTGTTATATTCATTTTAATATAGAGTGGCGTCAAAAAGTGCAAGGCATCCGATGCTGCGATATTTCTAACTCTCCCGCCAAGCGCAGCAATTAAGTCAAGTCGTTTCTAAAGTGACAGAAGCTCACGATAAACAATGAACAGTTAGTAATGACATTGTAAAAAGTCCAGTATATCTAAATCAATTAGCAATTTACATATTGATACATGTCACTAAATAAACATACACAAAATTTCAAGCAGCATGCTTCGCCTGAAACAAAACAAACCGTAAAAATAGTATATTAAGATATATCAATCATTAGGTTTCTATTTATATGACTACAACTATATATTAATTTTAAAATTCATTACAACTTGCAAAATAGGATCTGTATTAAATAAATTAATTTACGAATGCATATTTAATCGAGTAAACAACACAAATACAAATACTTGCTCTGTGCGAGTTTATGACTAGCTGAGCTACCGAACTGTCCAGAAAAAATCATTTAAAAACTTTAAATATGTTTAAAGATTACCGTCCAGATGTAACACAAATCATTTATAATAGAAAACAAGAGACATTGACACATTAAACATTCTCTTCAAAATAAAGTTTGAACAACTAATGAGACAACGTAAAACAACTTACATATTATAATCTGAGATATAATGGACATAGTCAATAAATGCATTATGTAATAGTGACAATAATAAGGTTTAAACTACGCTATAAACAATGTTTTGCCTTACCTACCGCTTCTACACATGTTCAACAAATTCTGACAACAAATTTATTAGTGAGAAATTATTTTTAATTTTTAACACATTAAACGCCATGCTAATTATAACCAAAATTCATTTTTTTTGTCTTGGTGCACTTTGATGTATTATTAGGAGACATGAATATCCATATATACTAGACCGCTGTAAAAGGTATAGTTTAGAAAAAAAACCTATAAAACCTCATGAGGTCACGGGTGTCCTACGCGGCGCCATGATATAACAAAGAGCGTTTCCGTTACCGAGACGCCGCGTTGGTCACGCTTCCGGCCACCCGCCCCCGCACTCATCTCGTCGGAACTTTACGAAAATTACGAAAAGGGTTACCAAAAGAAGTAATCGAATCAAAACTACAGCCAGGCGAGTCTATTGCTAGGCAAAACGAGCGAGTTATTTGTGTCCTAAAATGGAAGTCCAAAAGGGATGTGTTAATGCTCTCTACAAAGCACTCAAAGGGATTCACCACCGTCGTGAAAAAAGGAAGAGTGATTCGCAAACCAAAAGTGATTGTTGCCTACAACAAAGCAAAAGGCTCAGTAGACATAAGTGACCAAATGACCTCTTACTCGTCGCCATTGCGAAAAACAGTAAAATGGTACAAAAAATTAGCTATAGAGCTTGTTCTGAATACTGCTCTTGTAAATTCATGGGTGATGTATTGTGAAAACAAAAAAACAGATATAGAGTTAGTCCAATTCAGAAGGCAATTGGTAGACTACTTGACTCAGACAGAAAGTGGACCTGAAGCAAGCAATGAGCGACCAAGAAGAGTTAAACATAAGCTTCAAACCAAAGAAGCTACTGTGAGAAGTACAAGGCGTTTTTGTGCGCAATGTTATAAAACTAATGTTGATACTTATGGATCCAAGGCCGCCAAAAACAAAACTAAAAAAGTCTCTACATTTTGCAGCGAATGCGATAACGAACCGCATTTATGTTTGCCTTGTTTTAATAGAATTCATAAAATATAAAGGATTAGTTTGAAACGTTTTTCTACTTTGTAAGTCCTTACATCATTGCAAATTTTGTTATTTGACTACCTTAAGTTTTGTAATAAATATAACCTTGTTTTTCCATAGGATGCTATGTTTCTTTTCATAGACAAATGTATTAAGATAAATGTTCAGAGTATACATAAAGTAGCTTCAGTCAAAATCTAAGCCGGCTTCAGTGAAAAAAGCACAATACAGGTCTAACGTGGGAATGTATGGGAAATGTACCTAACTTGGTGTCTCCGATGTTTGCCTGAAAGTCGCGAACAGCTTAACTGATTTCGATGTAGCTTGGACCATTAGTTAAAACATTTAGTCGGAATATTCCATATTTAATTTTATTGAAATATATTTCATCGACTTTTTTCTGACAATATTTTTCGAAGTCGCTGTGTGAAGCCGGGGTGGGTCGCTAGTCAACCCATAAATTAACGTTATGGAATGCTACATAATATTTATGAGGTTTAAAAGCCAAAAAACGTATTTTTAAAAGTAAATTAATGCTTCAAAAAATGTTTTAATAATGTTGGCAAGTAGAACCGCGGACGGCAATAAGGTTTTCCTTATAACTTGAAAAAAAAATTAGCTACACAAGAACCATTCAGCAAAAGTGTTCTACAGCGCCACTCCGGCCACATGCTTGCTATAAATCAATGAAATCTAAGTGCTTAACGGTAGAAATAAGGTTCAAAGTCAGATATGCCTCGAGGTCACCGGTGACCTACGTGGCGTCTAGACACGGGGCAGGGTCCGGTCACCGGTGACCTACATGGCGTTTAATGTGTTAAATACTTAATAAATCTGTCCAAGCTTTATTTGAATAGTAAGATAGATCTGGTTGAACAAACAGTACAAAAAATATTATGCCACATATGTTTTATTTATGAGTACGTATGATTTACAAACAAATTGCATAATAAGTTCCCAGATATTTGCACCACAGTAAAATATTTATAACACCTTTTGCATAATATGATGCATATTCGACGACACACAATTACCATTCTTCATAAGTTTTCACAAAGTAACCAAAATAAGACCTCACTGACTCGAGTTTGTTATTTATTTTGCATCTTCATTAGCTGTAAGAAAAACAAACATTTTCAATTATGGCTACATAAATGGCGTTCAGGATATTATTAATCTCAACGAGGGAAATTCGAGCAAATTTTAATAGTTTGATCCTACTTTTTAAGGTTCCACTTCCGTAGTTAAATAACAAGATACCCTTATAGTTTCGCCATATCGGCCTATTCGTCCGCGGTTTTACTGAGACACCCTAAGTGCTACAACTCTGTAATTTGGCATAGTTGTAGTTTATCAATCACGCCTCAAAGTTGTGAAATAGTCTTGAAAAATATTTTTATTTTGGGCACCTCCCATACAGGTGATTTTTTTTACCTGTCTATTCTATCGTGTGAAGTGTCGTTTGATAGGCCTTTCAAAAATATTGGGGGTATGTAACAACATTTTTTTTTATTCTGGGGTACGTTTGCGAAATATTTATTAAATACATTCGTTCAGGTTTGAGCCGTTTAAGTTACTCGCTGTTTAGCGCGTGCTTTAGTTTTGATTTTATCTTTTTTGTAGTTTATTTAGATACACGGCAGTGTGTCAACTAAGTTCGGAAAAACATACTGCAGCTATATTAGTTGTATAGTTGTAACACGAATGGGTCGGCTCGACCGGAGAAGGACCACGTTCTCACAAAATACCAGCGTAAAATAGCAGCTTAATGCTGCTGTGTTTCGTATGGTAAGTGTAAAGAACCGGAGACCCTTTTCACCTGACGGTAAGTGGTTGATGTCTCTTCAGTCACCACTTACCATCAGGTGGATTGTGTGCGCGCTTGTCACCCTTACCCTATAAAAAAGTAATGGGCGACAGCATCCGCAGTGTGTATCAATGTATGTTGTGTGTATTATTTAACGATCCATTTAGAGGTACTTTCGACCCCCACACTAACTTTGCATGATAAATAATCCTGTCTCAATTTTACTAATAAACATATTTTTACGAGCTTGGGGTTAGAGACAACTAAAACTGTCGAGTGAATTACCAAAATAGACACTTTAATTACAGAACCCAAATTACAACTTAAGATCACCTAATAATAAAACACAATTGTTCTACTGATCACTTAAGTTCGCAGTTGTATCGCTTCGAAGTATTTCGCTTGTATCGCCAATTCAATACTCTCCCAGTCACGGTCTATACTGGCCTTATACAGGGCCTCATGTAGTTTCCAGAACCTTCTACTATAGAAACATCTAGAATGTCCGAGTACATATCGTTCCCGATATTTTCAGAATGTTCTTGACTCTCCTAGTCCTGCTACTCGATACTAGAGGGCGCTAGTGTTGCCATGTACAAGACATTAATAGTGGCGCGCAACAATATTACGGTTAATGAGTTATTGAGATTTCAAAATGTCCATCCATCCGTAAGAGCCTAAGCCCACTGCTGACATAAGCCTCCCCCATAGATTGTCTCATAGGGAGGATTTTGTCCTAGGTGTCACGCTTGGCAGGCGGGTGAGCAACCACAGGTTTTTATTATTTCGAGTAGTATCAGGAAGATGCTCAATTTCCCTCTGTCACGTTTTTGCACTCACGGTATTATATGGGCTAGTTGATATCCTTCCATCACACAGTTTTAATTTTATTTAATTACTTGTAACTAACCGCAAAGACAGGAGATGGGCAGCAGCATCTTTCTGATAACAGTAAATTACAATAAAAAAAACTGCGGTTGCCTCCCCGCTTGCCAAGGGTGGCAATTAAGGCAATACCTGGAGTACCTCATAGAGATATGGGGTTAGGCCGTACAAACGCACATAAGTAAGTTAGAACGAGTGCAAAGTAAACTAATAAAAACACTATTTCATTACAACTATATACATACAGCACATGCCTTATTATTAAAAAAAATAACTAAAACATACATTCAACAATAACATTCACACCAAAGTGTATTTCACATAATCTTAGAAACAAAAACAAACTTCAAATCTGGCAGCCTCGGACGAGATCTTATGGCAATAAAAATATAATGTGTGAGGGTGTACTTTTATATAATAATCTACTGGATACTGTAAAAGATTGTAATACTATTAAGCATTTAAATAATAAGCTAAAATCATATGTTAGATAAAATTTTATAACTGCATATCTTCAATTTTGGATATTTAAAACATTACCATATAATACAAACATATGTTTGAATTGAGTAAGAAAAAGTGTAACAAATTAATTAAGGATATATAAGAATAAACAAACATATGTTTTAATTAAGTAAGAAGTAGTGTAACAAATTAATTAAGGATATATAAGAATAAACAAACATATGTTTTAATTAAGTAAGAAGTAGTGTAACAAATTAATTAAGGATATATAAGAATAAACAAACATATGTTTTAATTAAGTAAGAAGTAGTGTAACAAATTAATTAAGGATATATAAGAATAAACAAACATATGTTTGAACTAAGTAAAATAAAAGTGTAACAAATTAATTAAGGATATATAAGAATAAAATACCGAGAATTATATAATGCATGCTACCGTGTAAATACTGTTAATATTATTTTGTATGTATATAGCCCCCATGACGAGAGTTACAAAAAAGACGGCCCAAGTCCACGGCGGCCTAGCGGGGCCGCCGTGGACTTCTTAGCAACGGCGGGCAGGGGGTGCTAAGAATCTCCGATGGAAGTTTGGTTCCTACTAAGACTCGACCTGGCAACAGCGGATTGGAGCGGATGGCCGCAAGCAGGGAGGCGCGTGTCTTGTGGCCACACCGCAATTTGAACTACGGCGAGTTCTCGGTCCGAGTGATGTAAACATAGACGATCACGTCTTTGAATTAGTATGTGCGTCTGTTTATTTAAAAAATCGTTTTTTGTTTTTATTGTGTGTAGTTTATATTCCGCCTTGTAGTAAAGATAATGAGTATATGGTAATGTTCAGAATAATAGAAAATCTATGTACTTGTTATAGAAAAATAATAGTGATAGGTGATTTTAATCTTAATTCATGTTCGTCAAATATAATAAATTATTTTGACTATTTTATATCATTCTGTGGATTCGTTCAGAGTAACAGGGTGAGTAACTGTGACAATAAATTGTTGGACTTGGTCTTGAGTTCATTTGAGGATGAAGATTGTGTGAAGGTTCGAGCTTCAGAAACTAGTCTTGTGAGGGTGGATGAGTACCATCCTCCACTGGAAGTGACAGTGACTGTGTCCTCGCCAACCACCGGGAATCCGCCACGGACACCTACATCCCCCGGTAATGATTCAGGTACCTTACAATGGAATTTTTACAAAGCTGATTTTTTATTATTATATTCATCGATATTTAACATAGACTGGACCCCAATTTATTCATTAGATTTAGAACAAAGCTTAGATTATTTTTACAAAGAGATTAACTTAGCATTAGACAAATGTGTACCAAAAAGAAAAACAAAACGGGTAGGCTCAGGTCGGATATACCCTGAATGGTATACTAGGGATATTATTAATTTAATAAAATATAAAGCTACGTCCCATAAAAAATATAAAAAGACACGATTAGTCACTGACTATATAAAATTCGCTGAGTTGAGAACTAAAGTTAAAAATATGCTAGTAATTGCACATAACCAGTATAAGCACTGCGTGCAAAATAATCTCCAAAGAGACCCAAAATCCTTTTGGAATTTTGTTAATTCCAAAAGAGGTAATCTAAATCCAAAAAAAATTTTAAAAAATGGGGAGGTTTTGACCAACGAGCATTGTGCCATTGAGTTTGCAAAATACTTTCATTCGGTGTATACTACACAGAGACCAAACTTAAATGTGAGTAAGGCTATTGACGCCGGAGGGGATAACGGGGCAGCGCGAATTCACTTGAGTCAGTTGCAACTTAAGGACATACTGACCGCACTTAAACAACTTAAGCCAAAGAAATCTGCAGGACCAGACGGGATACCACCT